CAATATTCACTGGTAACATGTCTTTTTAGTTACACAGCAGTGGATTTCTATTCAAGGTTAGCATATCAGAACTTAAGATTTTATCTCATATCATTTTGAAAAAGTATTTTATTGCCGGGCATGGTGGTGCACGCCTTTAATCCCAGCACTTGAGAGGCAGAGGCAGGTGGATCTCTGTGAGTTCAAGGCCAGCCTGGTCTACAGAGTGAGTTCCAGGACAGCTGGGGCTATAGGGAGACCCTGTCTCAAAAAGACCAAAAAAAAAATTTATTTTATTATTGTGCGCATACACATGCATGTGGAGATCAAAGGACAATTTTGTGGAATCTATTCTTTCCATCCACTTTTACATGGGTTCCTGGGATTGAACTGAGGTCATCAAACTTGCAAGTCAAGTGCCTTTACCTGCTAAGCCACCTTGATGGCCCCACCCCACCTTATCTCATATTATAATAAACTGTATTTGCATGAAAATAATGGTTCTTGTAACACACTTAGTGCATAATAAAAGGTACTTAAGTTTTGCCAAACTCTTCTTCCCTAAACTGTGGTGCAGAGGATTACAGAGAGAGGGGGAGAAAGGATGGAGGGGGTGGAGTAGAAGTCAGGTTCAATGATTGATATAGAGATATGAAAATGTTATAATGAAGCCAAGTATTTTGTAAGATAACTAAAAATATTTTTTGAAGAAATATTTGTAGTACCAGATCCATAGGAACTATAGGGAAAAAACTTGCAGTGCACTGTGTATATAAATCTCCTGATCCTATATGGAAGCAAATATGGTACTTTCAGGAGAACACTGACATCACATTTAAATAGTTAATCTGGCCAGGTATGGTAGTGAATGTCTTGAATCCCAGTTCAAGGCCAACCTGGTCTACATAGTAGGTTCCAAGTCACCTAGGACTACATCAATTAATTGATTAAATCTCAATTAATCAGCTGAGCATGGTGGCACATGCCTTTAATCCCAGTACTCTGGAGGCAGAAGCAGAGGCAGGAACATCTCTATGAGATTGAGGCCAGCCTGGTCTATATAGTAAGTTCCAGGCCAGCTGGGGCTACAGGGAGACTCTGTCTCCAAAAAAAAAAAAAAAAAAAATTAATTAATTAAATTAAATTTTTAAAAAATTTAAAATCAATCAACCGATTAATCAATCAGGACTAGAGATGGCTCTTCCATAAGATCCAGATTGAGTTCCCAGCATGCACACTGGGTGAAGCACAACCTCCTGTAACTCCAGTTTAAGAGGATGTCTTTAAGGATCTGATGGCCACTTCTGGCCTTTGTAGGCACTGTGTGTGTGTGTGTGTGTGTGTGATATTATACTCAGTCATACACATACACATAAATGGTTAATTTGCAACTTTTTGGCTTTGTAGTTTGCTTCTATTTCTTTTTTTAAATTTATTATTTTTATTATTTTATGTGTACGAGTGTATTGCCTGCATGTATGTGAGTGCACTCATGTCGTGCAGTGCTGCAGAGGTCAGAAGAGGGCTCCTGATTCCCCAGGAACTGGAGTTAAGGACGGTTCGTAGCCACCATGTGGTGCTGGGAATCGAACCTGGGTCCTCTGCAAGAGCAGTCAGTGCTCTTAACTACTGGGCAATCTCTCCAGCCCCGTTTCTATTTAATTTCTAACACTGTTTTTGTTTTATAATTGCATAAGCACTCTCAGTTTAAAGAAGCCAAGCTGTTTTGTGTTTGTATGTAAGTAATTTTATACCAAAATTCAAGAATGCAGTCTTGTACAATATTAGATGTGGCTAATGACTTAAGTTGGGAAAATGTCAGATACCAAAAAAACTAAGAAATAAAATTTAAAAAGTGAAAAATGAAAGGCAATTTTTTCACATTAACAAAAAAGGAACAGGAAATGGAAGTTGATCTAGGTAACCTGACCTTTAACTTTCCTTTTGTCAATGGTATTTTAGTTTCTGACAAGTTTGAATCAGACATAAAAACATCAAATCCAATGCTGAAGCCATGATATTATGGCTAAAGCTTCCTCTCATATACCTTTATTAAGTTGAAATGCAAAACTGAGACCAAGAGCACAAAAGTTATGAAAATGCAGACCAGAAAAGTGGTATGCACAGGTTCAATTAGCATTTTCTCTATTTTCAAATTTCTAGGCCTTATTATGATGCTTACAGCAGAAAACACAATGTATAATTTAACTTAATTTTTATTTTTTGTTGGTCTTTTTGAGACAGGGTCTCCCTGTAGCCCCAGCTGGCCTGGAACTCACTATGTAGACCAGGCTGGCCTTGATCTCACAGAGATCAGTCTGCCTCTGCATCCTGAGTGCTGAGATTAAAGGCATGTGCCACCATGCCCAGTCACAATGCATAATTTTACATGGATAAAATTACAGTGTGGGGGGTTTGGAGAGATGGCTCAGTGGTTAAGAACACTGACTGTTCTTGCAGAAGACCCGGGTTCAAATCCCAGCACCCACATGGCAGCTAACAACTGTCCATAACTCCAGTTCCAAGGGATCCAGCAGCCTCTTCCATCCTCCTCAGGCAGTGCACAACATGGGTGCACTTACCTACATACAGGCAATACATGCATACTCATAAAATAAAAATAATAAATAAAATATTA